TGTCAAATCCACAATTCCCATTTCACAGCAGAGTAGCCTAACCAACATACTATAGCAATGATTTTCAACCTGTGGTCTGCAGACACTGTCCAAGGGATCTGTGAAATGGCTAGAGTCAAAAAAAAAAAAAAAAAAAAAGTGAATATCCATACTTAAATTTCAAATGGAGGTGCAGACCACTTTGAGTTGTAGGAGCCCACAAATTGAGAGGGGGGGGGGGACATTGAAAACCACTGCACTAATCTGCTACACTGGGTTTGAGAGCACTCACCATCCCTCCTAGTGAACCTGGGCCACAGCGTAAAAAAGCAGGCGAAATTCATGGTGCCAGAGAGGAAATGAGAGGAAATCTGACTCCAGCCTACAATCCTGGGCACTTTAGTCCATGCTCCTAGCATAACTAATCCAGTTTGCATTCGCCTCACTGCATAAAATGCATAAACGTTGGACTAGAACAAAGAACCCCCTCCACCCCCATGGAGGAAATACTCTCCCTCAGTGGGTAACAGGCTTGCTCTCTACCATTCCTTTTTTTTTTTTTTTTTGCATTGTAGCTCAGTTTTAACTGGAGAGAGAAGTGTTTTCATTCTAGCTGGCTGCATGCATAAGAACTCTCCTTAGAGATGAGAGGGAGGCAAATTAGAACCTCATCAGGCTCTGGATGACCTTGAGCTCAAGCCTGCTATTTCCTGGACAACCACTCTAAGTGTTAGGCATTATATAAAGCTATGTAGGCAGCACCACTTCATTCTCTAGTCAGTTCTAGAAAAGTGAACAAATCATCCCCATCCAAAGGAATGGCTTAGGCACTGAAGTGCAGGAGGGGGGATTGGGACTATGAATCCCAGTTTCACATTGGTGCTCAACTCATGGGCTGCAGGTAACCAGATCCAGGAATTCAGCATCCCTCTCCCCAACCAGTTCTCTTGGCTGCCTCTTCTCCCCTCCACCACACTAGGTGTTATGAATTCCATTCAGCCACAGAAATTTGGGCATCTGATCATGTGAATTCTAATCTTGGGACCACCCACCATACTTAAGCAAAGCCACAAAGGAATTTAAAAAGTGACCAGATATAGGAAGAATGGATTACTTAATATGCTAGTTCAAGGGCTCTGAAATATGTGACTATTAGGCTAACAACAGAACAGTTGCCACATATTTCCAGCACCAAACATTTTCCCCATGAGTAAGAAGTCCCCTTGAGCCCAAATGAAGGGAAAATAAGATGCCCAAGCAAAAGCTTGAAGACAGAAGTCTGAAACCCAGAGATTCAAGTTTGTTTTATTTTGCAGCATATTTACACAGGAAGGGAGAGAATGTCATTCCCTCCCCCTTTAAATAGTCAACTATTGCCAGCTACCTTTCATTTTAATAGCTGCTTAGTGTCTGGGAAAGAAAGAAAAAAAAAAAAAGAGGGGGGGGCTAATTTAGAGAGTGGTGGAAAGGAATTGTAACAATTTGAAATTAAAGTTGCACAATGGATCTACAATCAGACGACTAAGAACTTGTTTTGAGAACTAATTAAAGGTGCAGTTAAAATCTCATTTCTGTGAGATCTGTTTATACAGATTTAAAGTGGTGAGCATAATTTCAAGATCTCCATTTTTTATGTCAAGAGCTTGCAGAAAACAGTTCAGTGCATCCTGTAGTTTTCCATCTTCTTTTAGTTTCTTCCCACATTCTACAAGGGTGTCATAGTTGTCTGAGGCAGAAAGGACATTCAGTTTACTCTGAATCTCCTCTTTCTGGGATGCATTTCCCCGTGAGAAGCAGTCCATTTGCTCACCAGACAGAAGTTCAGGGTCACCTGTAGATTCCTCTTGTGATTCTTCCTCTCTATCATCTAAATAGTCAATGCTATCCTCTGTATCGAGCGTTTCCCCTGCAGGTTCATCTTCCATTTCCAAAGACTGTGTGCTATGCTCTTCAGCTTCTTCCAACACACACCCTTCTTTTTCATCAGAATCCTCTGCATCATTGCTAGTTCCCATAGTTTCTTCAACGTCTTCCACCTGGTCCAGCACCATGTTAAGAAGGGATCCTTTAGAAGCTGTAGACTTGTTCCCACTACCAGTAATTCTTGGGGAAAAAATAGCATCTGCTAAAGATACCCCACATTTAGGAGTAGATGCACTGATTACTTGAGAGGAATGTAAAAGGCTGTTTATGGGAGAGTGTGTGGTTGGAGGCACATTTTCATCCAGTATTTCAATTGAATTATTGTTGTCCTCACTCTCAGAAGACAGCCTCCTAGCCTGCTTCTTCTTGACAATAGCAATGATAGCATCGCTTTCCACAGAAGCGTCACTCCCTGACAGAGAATAATTCAGGTTGTCTTCAGTTATGTTACAGGAATTCCCATTATAACAGTCTCTTACTTGAAAATTTGTTACAGAATTGCGATTGCTTTTTACTTCGTATTGAGAGCCTGTATTTTCTGTGTTGTCTGGCATTTCTTCTCCTGAAGCATCTTGCTGTATGTGTTCAGACTCTTCCAGAACAAGATTAAAGTCAACCTGATACTGGGAAGATGCACCAGACATACCCTGCAAACTGATTTCACTTACATGAGATTGCTGGAGTCCATTAGGGAGTTCTGCACTGGCAACCAAAAAACTATCAGATGCCCTACCAAAAACTAGCTTAGAAGTTTCACTCTTGTCAGCAAGAAGATCAAGAGACTTTTCTATTTCTCTCTCTCTTTTATAATCAAAAACTGATTCATGTAATGACTGCTGTGAGTGTAATAAAGATGTCATTTGAACATCATTTATGCAGTCTAGTTTTATAAGTGAAGTAGAAAAACTCTCTCTCAATTTAAGATTAGCACCTTCTTTGTCATCAAGATACGATACAGAACTTGGATCAAATTTTTGTTCAGATGATTCTTGCATATGTGATTGTTCCAATACTTTACTGTTAGTAAGCACCTCATTAATAACTATATTAGATACCTCCTGTGCCAGTTTCTCTTCACTCAAGTCTTCAGTAGTGAAACTTGTCCTTTTAGAGCCATTAACAGCTTCATCTTCTCTAAGATCAATACAATCTGCAGGTCCAACTAATACTGGTGGTGGTATGAAGCAGTTTTTGTTGTTCAACTCCGGTGATTTTTTTTGTGGTTTGGAAGAAAGTTCTGGTAGTCTTGACCATGCCTTTTCAATATGGGTTTCAAGTCCCCCTATTCGGTCTTTGAGCTGAGATTCTGACTGGACCAGCTCTTGAGCTTTCTGTACTCTTTGCTGAATATATTGATAAGCTTCTTGATTCTCAGCTTGCTCTTCATGAGCTATCTCTTGTGTATACATCAAGTCATGATCTGAAATACCAAACATTTCCAGGGAGTACAGATAAGCAATATGTTCATCCAGGGTCAAGTCACTCTCTCTCTGGTTGGCATGCAAGGACTGTAGTTGAACCTGTGTTGCAGAGAGTCTGGCATTTTCCAGTGTAAAGAGTTCCCTTAACTCCTGTTTAGTGAAATATCTAAAAGGGTTCTTTTTGTCACCAGTAGTTTGTCTAATTAATGAGTCCTTGAAAACTTGTCGCCTATATATTTTCTCTTCTACAGTGCCACAAGTAATCAACCTGTAGATTACTACATTTTCCTTTTGTCCAATCCTATAAGCTCTGTCCACAGCTTGGGCATCTGTAGCTGGATTCCAACTGGGATCAAAGATCACCACTCTGGTTGCTGCTGTTAAGGTTATGCCAACACCACCTACTTGGGTGGTAAGTAAAAAAACAGAATAGTCTTTATTACTTTGAAACATGCTAATCCTCTTCTCCCGTTCTGCTACATGGGATATCGTTCCATCAAGGCGCATGATTTTGAAGTGCTTTTGAGTTAAAATGCGCTCCATGATATCCAGCATTTTTCTTGATTGGGAAAATACCAGTGTTCTGTGCCCCTCCTTTCGCAGTCTTTCCAAAAGCCCTGTGAGGAACACCAATTTCCCAGACTCTTGGATGAGAGCCTCAATGGAAACATGATCAATTTTATTACCTCCTGAAAATGTGCCTTCTTCATTCTCATCATCCTGCTCAGAATAATTGTCTCCTAACCCAAGCTGACTACATGCTCGTGCAGGCAATAGCCTAGGATGATCACATAGCTTCTTTAACACTGTCAGCTCAGCTAAGGGTGACCGGGTTGTTAGTAATAGTTCCTTCACATGATCCAAAGAGAGAAAGTTCCTATAGATTTCTTCCTGCACTGGTGCCAAATACACCCATACAATGAAGTCATTTTTCCTGGAAAGAGAAGGCATTACAGGAGCTATGTTCTCACTTTTCTCTTCAGGAAAATGGATTTCTTGTTGGTCAGACTTGTGCTTCTTCTGTATGTCTTCTTTAGTCCTCCGGAGAAAATATGGTTTTATAAGGGACATTAGATTTTCAGATATTTTAAGTCCAAGAGCTCTCTCTCCTGGCATCGCATCTTTCTCCCTGGCTCTTGTGATAGGATTCTCATATTCCATTTTAAAGGTTTTCGCTGTTCCTAGGAGAGAGCCCTGACAAGCAAAGTCAAAGAGAGACCACATCTCACGCAGATTATTTTGGACTGGCGTCCCTGTGAGGAGGATGCGATTTTTGGCAGGAATAAGGTGAACACATCTTGTGGTTTTGGTAGATGGGGACTTAATCTTATGCGCTTCGTCAAGGATCACATAGTCCCAGACTAGACTGTTGTCAGCAGTACACAGCTGCTGCCAGTTGTTAATCAGCATGTGGTAGGTGGTGATGAGGATACCCGTCTTTCTCCGGATTCTCTCCAGGTTTCTGGTCCGCTCTGTCTTGCTGACTCCGTGAAACTCTTTCACCCTCATCCCCGGAGTCCACCTGGCAAACTCCCTCACCCAATTGCTGACCAGGGTGGTGGGCACCACCAGCAGCACGAACTGGATGAGCTCAGAGTCAAACATACCTGAAAGGAAAGCGATGATCTGGATGGTTTTGCCCAGGCCCATGTCATCAGCCAGGATACCCCCCTGCCGGCCCTCCCGGTACAGGCGGTAGAGGAAGGCCACGCCCTGGCGCTGGTGCTCAAACAGCTTGTCGTGCAGCTCCCCGAAGAGCAGAAGGCCACTGCCGCACACATCCACAAACCGCTCCTCCTCCTCCTCCTCCTCCGCCGGGGCCAGCGCCAGCTCTGCCAGCGCCTCCTGCCGCCTCTGAAT